AGCAGGGAGCTGGCTATTCTGGTCGGGCAATTACCACGCCTTTCCCCCATACACATCTCCCCCACTCTCCACTCACTCACACCCTCCACACACACACACCAGCCAGAGGAGATTTTAGTCATTCACAGTTTTTAATTTTAAAAGAAGCATTAATGAGAAACATGCTCCACTGACCCAGGCCCCATCACCCCCCAGGAACCCTACGGGGCAGGGGGCTGGGCCTCCCACACCTGGGCACCCTCCCCAAAGGGGCAGACCACGCAGTCAGCCCCTCCATGAGCAGCAGTGTCCCCCCACCTCCACTCCGGCATCAGCTGAGGGCACAGCCAGAGAGCCCAGGGGGTAAAGAACTCTCCCTTTCCCGGAGGCGCTGCTCCCCCGTGCAGCAATGGCCCTGGGCTAATCCATCGCCGAGGTCCAGGACTCCACACAGCAAGGAACCTGTGTGAGTGTGTGTGTGAGATAGAGAGTGTGTATGTGTGTGAGCGAGAGAGCACTCAAGTGTGCAGGGGAAAGAAGGGCAGGCAACAGCACCCAGACTGTATGCCAGTGTGTGGGTGAGCAAGCATTGAGCACAAGGGCCCAGTCTGTTCACAAGCACGTGCAAAGAGCAAATGAGGGGGGTGGGGGGTGGAGTCTGGGCAGATTCCCTATTTGCACAGCACAACTCCTCAGCAGCCGGGGCTGGCAGAGGAACCAGTTGAGGAGGAGACCCCAGCCTGTCCTGCAGAGCTGCTTGCTCCTTATCACCAAGAAGTCCCCCCACCTTCCTCAGAGGCAGGAAGAAACTGCCCCCGTGTAACAATTAAGGATCTGGCTCCCACCCTGACAAAAAACACCCCCGAGTGCTGTTGGGGGAGGGGGGAACCGCACTGGACTGCAGCGTCCCTCCTCTCAGCCGCCAGGTGGAGTGGGGGTATGGGACTCGGAAATATGGGCTACAGTCACTGCCCCTGCCCTCCTGCTGGGCATCAGGACTCATGCTACAACAGCAGACTTGGGTCCCGTGGACTTGGGGGGTCTCTGTCATCAGCCCCACCAAAACGGCTGAGCAGCACAGCCCAATGGCCCGGGCTCCCCTCGGCCGTAGAGGCAGTGGGCAGGCGGGCTCTGCCCAGAACAGTGCATATGCTCACGGCTGGCGGGGTTCGGAGGCTCCGTGGACAGTGTTATCTACGGTACAGAGCGAAGGCCATGAAGCTGAAGAGCAGGGTGAGGCCAGCCAGGCAGGAGGTGGCGGTGGCGGTGAAGACGTGCCGGTATTGCAGCTGGAAGTACCACAGCACAGCCAACATGAGCACAAAGAGCGGCAGCATCAGGCTGCCCACGTTGAGGGCTGTGTGGACAGGGTCAGCAGTGGCCCGGAGGCCAGCAGCCATGGGGGCTGGGCCATGCTGGGAGACGTGGCAGTGCAGAACGCTGTTGTGGGTGAGGTGCAACGCAGCCAGGCTCTGAGCATCATCCCGCAGCAGCTGGCCCTGGTAGATCAGACGCACCTGGTGCTCCTGGCCTGGGAAATGGGCCCTAAGGTGAAGACACAGGGAGGGAAATGTCACAGTCACAGACACACAGTCCAGCATCCCATTTATATAGGGGGGAGGGATAGCTCAGTGGTTTGAGCATTGGCCTGCTAAACCCAGGGTTGTGAGTTCAATCCTTGAGGGGGCCACTTAAGGATCTGGGGCAAAATCAGTACTTGATCCTGCTAGTGAAGGCAGGGGGCTGGACTTGATGACCTTTCAAGGTGCCTTCCAGCTCTAGGAGATAGGATAGGATAGGATATCCCCACCTAAAGAACATCAAAACAGCCACATTGGCTCAGCCCAATGGTCCAGCTAACCCCCGGTCCTGTCTGCCAACAGGGGCTGGGGCCAAGTGCTTCAGAGGGACTGAATGCAATAGGGTGATTTATCGAGTGATCCAGCCCATCATCCTCTCCCAGCTTCTGGCAGTCAGAGGTTTAGGGACACCCGGAGCATGGGGTTGCGTGCGTCCTTAACCACCTTGGCTAATAGCCATCGATGGATCAAGAACTGATCTAATTCTTTTTTGGACCTAGTTATAGTTTTGGCCTTCACAACATCCTCTGGCAAGGAGTTCCACAGGTTGACTCTGGTTGTGTGAAGAAATATTTTGTTTTAAACCTGCTGCTTATTAATTTCATTTGGTGACCCCTAGTTCTTGTGTTATGAGAAGGAGTAAATAACACTTCCTTATTGACTTTCTCCACAGCAGTCATGATTTTATAGACCTCAATCATACCTCCCGTTAGCCATCTCTTTTCCAAGCTGAACAGTCCCAGTCTCTTTAATCTTCTCCTCAAATGGAAGCCGTTCCACACCCCTAATCATATTTGTTGCCCTTCTCTATGCTTTTTCCAATTCTAATACATCTTTTTGAGATGGGGCGACCACTCTGCACACAGTATTCAAGATGTGGCCATACCATGGATTTATATAGTAGCAATATGATATTTTCTGTCTTATTATCTATCCCTTTCCTAATGATTCTCAACATTCTGTTCGCTTTTTTGACTGCCACTGCACATTGAGTGGATGTTTTCAGAGAACTATCCACAATGACTCCAAGATCTCTTTCTTGAGTGGTAACAGCTAATTTAGACCCATCATTTTATATGTATAGTTGGATTACCTTTTCCAATGTGCAATACTTTGCATTTATCAACACTGAATTGCACCTGCCATTTTGTTACCCAGTCAGGTGAGATCCCTTTGTAACTCTTCGCAGTCTGCTTTGAGTACAACCTTCCTCCATAGGGCTCCATACCCCCATTACGGGGGGCTTGGCTGTGCCCAACTCCTCATGAATCTCCATCCCGAGAGCCCGAACGCAAGCCCTCCACCCCCAATCCATCCCCATCCCCAGGCACCTGGCTGTACAGCCCTCCCCCACATATTCCCTTCCATGGTCTGTCATTTCGCTGTGTGCTCTCATTGTCCTAGCAGTGTCCCACCATGGTCTCCCCAGGCCAGTCTGTGCCCTTGTGCCAGGGTGTGTCCCACACAGCACTCCATCACCCTACTCTGTGGTCTGTGATCAATGGTACCAACGGTGCTGCCTAAGCTATCCCCTTGGGGAGGGACGGCAGCAGAAAGCGGTCCAGGCTCCAAGCCACGTCCAGCACGTTCAGTGCAGGAGAAGGGAGGGCAAGCTGAGGTTCAAGGGATACCAGAGCCCCCAGACGGGGAGGGCAGAGGAAAGGGGCAGAGGGGGAGCCTGCCTGGCTGTGAGGCTGCGCTTCAGAGCTCCATCTCCTCCCCACGGCTTGCTACTGCTTGGCCTCTCACCTCTTCAGAGAGCCGACCGTCTCCTCTGGGCACACCGTGGCCAGGCGCTCCGTGTCGTTCAGGAACTTCAGCCTTAGCACTATGGTGCGGTCCGTGGGGCTACTGTCTGTGGCCTCGGGGCTGGCACCTGTGTCTCCGGGGGGCTGCAGGGGGCACTGTGGAGATCCAGGGTTGGCCCGGTGCCTCAGCCCTGCGGCAATACCATCAGGCCCATCTGGCACGGCACCTGCTGAAGACTCCGCTTCCTCCTTGGGCTCCCCTGCCGCTGGGGTTTGCATGCTGGGTTCCCTCGGCCCATCCTCCAGCAGGCTGTCTGCCCCAAGCTGCCCAGCTGCCGGAGGGGGCGAGGCAGCAAAGACCTGGTCTCCCCGCTCTGAGGTGTGCGTCGAGACCCATGCCAGCACCAGCACCAGCACGATGAGCAGCAGGGCAAAGAGGATGGTGACTTCGTCCCCCACGCCCTCAATCAGAGCCATGGTAGCTGGGCAGGGCTGGGGACAGCGGGATTACCAAACTGCAGAGACAAAACAGCAGCCGTGAGCCTGGGAGCCAGTATCGGGGGGACACCCCCCCCCCCAGCCAGTGCTCAGGAGCACAGCAGGCCCTCAGCTTCCCACCCAACAGGGACTCCCGCAAGACCTCCCCGGGCTGGGCCTGGCCCACAGGGCACAACAGGAATGCCCCAGGGAGGAAGGTCCTGGAGACACCCCCATGCCCCTGGGGCACTAAGTGCAGGGCTCGGCCGAGTTAGAGGGATGCTGAGCCCAACGGGCCTAGATCTCTGAGCTCATTTGTTCGCATCATGCCATGGCCTCCCCGTTCGACTCTCTTCCCATTGTCCCGCCTCAGGTAGCGCAGTCTAGCCAAGGCTGCCTAATGCTTCCCACCAGCCGCCCCTTTCCAGTTGCTCCTAACTTTGCAAACTTCAACTGTTTTTATGGGGGCGGTGGGAAGACAGGTTGTGCGTGCGAGAGGAGAAGGGACAGACAGGTACACGCTAGGAGACAGGGACAGGCAGGGGAACAGGGGCAGAGCGGTCTATAGCCACTAGACATGCTCCTCTTCACAGCCCGGAATGGAATTCTGGATTCCTGACCATCGGCATTCCTCTGATGCCAGCCAACAGATGTGCAACCCACTGACAAAGCACGTGTCCCACCCCACCTAGTAGCAGACACACACAGACAGCTCGCCTGAGTGGTAGAGTCAGAGATGTTAAGGCCAGAAGGAAGTAGTATGATCATCTAGTCTGACCTCCACTGGGAGAGGACTGTGCTGGGATCTCAAGGTGTTAGGGGCCAATATGGTTCCACACAATGGAATTTGTTTTTTCACTTTGCTTTTTAAAAAAGCCAGGTGGTTACATTAACAAAAATCTACACTAGAAGAATGCTGAGATTTCAAAGCTGAGCACTCAAAAGATAGGAAATGCCAGAGTTAAGGTTACAAGGGCATCCTTAATTTGACTCCATGTGTATATACTTACAGTACAATCTTTAATTACTTGATCACATTCTACATTACCCTCAGGACCCCTGCCTCAATCAGTGTACAGGATGGATGGGGCTGTGGGAATGAATCGTGTCTGTGTAGTGAAGGAGGCTGTGTGTAGGGCTCATTTCTTGACGAAGCAGGAAGCATGTATCCATCCCTCATCCCCTTTACGCAATTGTTTGTGAACTCCCTCCAACGACAGGCATGTTCCACCCCACCAGGAAAGTGTGCCGTGAATAAGGCAGGGGACAACAGGAAGAGAAAGAATGTTCTCGTGGTGAAGGCAATTGAATGCTGTCCTGGAAAACTGGAGTCTGTCCCTGCCTCTGCCACACAGTTCCTGGGCGATGCTGGGCAAGTCACTTAAACCAAACTTTTCAGTGTGTTCTCATTTCTGGATGTCTGACTTGAGACCTGGGGTCTGATATGCAGAAGTGCCAAGTGCTCATGATGGCAACTGAAGTCAATCAGGGCTGTGCTTTGAACATCTGAAGTGTTATCAAAATGCTACTAAGCGCCTAAGGCTCCAGGCATCTCAAACTGGGCATCCAAAACAAGGGGAAGCTTTTGACAATTTTTGCCTTAATCTCTCGGGCTCAGATCTTCAAAGGTCTAGGCATCTGTCAAAGACCCAGAGCCTAGTCTATACCCCAGCCTGTAACCAGTCCCCTTAGTGTGCCGGGTCCCAAGGGCCCACAGTTCCACTGGGGCAGGTCTGTAGCCGCCAAGGCTCTGAAACTGGCCCTTCACCCCAGTGATCCCTGTCTCTCTCTGTGAATCCCCAGCCAGATGCCTGCAGAAGGCCATGCTGTGCCCCTTCATGGCATCATGCTCCCTGCAGTCAGTATGTGCACTCATAGCAGGCAGCCCTCCCACACTTTATTGGTCACCTGGCTTCAGATCCCGACGTTAGCAGAGAGGCAAAGGTGAAGGCAGAGTCCAGCCCGGCCAACTCCAGGCCAGGGCTCCCTTGAAACCATCTTGGCTCTCTCCCTTTGTCCTTAGTTCCAGCCAGGTGCCTGTCTCCAAAGGCCAACTTAGCCCAGTCACCTGACCCCTCTCCCCTTTGTTCTCCACCTGGGGCCTTTGCTCTGCTTCTAGATGGGGAAAAACCTCCATCCTGGCCATTGGGGATTCCACTGTCTTGTGGATCCTGGGTGGTTTCAGCCAGTCTTTATCAACCCATTCCAGTCCTGTGACACACACCCCTCACCTGCCCTGCTCTGCCCCAAGAGCAGTTTTTTAACCCTTTATGCTCCATGCAAAGCACCAAAGGAAACTGAGGCATTTATAGGACTCTCCGATTGTGCATCCAAAGCTAGTGGAAGTGTTTAATAATATTTTCCCTATTCTCTCGGGCTCAGCTCCTCACAGGTCTAGGCATCTACACACCCCTTGATTTAACTGAGAGTTAGGTAGCTAAATACCTCTGAGGTTCGGGGCTGTCATTCCCTATCTATAAAATGGGAATACCACAGTCTAATCTCACAGGTGCTTTGTGAAGAGAAATTCATCTTTTCCCAAAAGTGAAACAACATGAAATAAAATGAAAAACCTCAACCAGCAACAGCAGCTCTAGGGCTCCTGTCTGGGCATCGCGACCTGATACACAAGGTCACAGCGCCACACACCCAGGCTTGGCCCAGCCTCCTCCTTTCATGACAAGGGGGCACCCCTAAACGGTCCAACTTGGAGTGACTGGTTGCAACCTGGCTGCTCCTCCATCAAACCTGGGCAGTGCTGCAAGCCTGTGTGCCAGGTCACAACGTCCAGAGCGAGGAGCCAGGCCCAGCCCACAGGACAGGAGCCCCAGAGCTGCTGCTGGCTCTCCAACCCAGCTCCCACCACCTAGGGCAGAACCTGTAACCAACCTTCCCGCCAAATCTGGATAAAATGAAATAACCAGGAATTCCCAAAAACTCAAACAAAAAATGAAAAGACTTCCCCTGGGCTCGCTCCACAAGATTAGCTCTGTAGTCAGGGCTGGGTTTGGATGGTCAGTAAGCAAAGCCTGGGATCACACACCAAATAAGGACAAAGAGCAATATTAAATAGCTACGCACTCAGGGAGCACCTTTCATTCAGAGCACTGAATGAGGCAAGGGAACCTGTGGAAAAAGCAGTAAGTGATCATGTACTTAAAGACTATCATAATGCACATACACAAGGGAGCAAATTAAGGGATTTCCTAACTTTTGAGTGCTTTACTTTATAAGCTTTATTTTAAATGTAGCTTTTCTGTATGTTATTATTGGTATTGATGGCGTATCTAGGGTAGTGGCTCTCAACCAGGGGTACGCAGAGGTCTTCCAGGGGTACATCAACTCATCTAGAGATTTGCCTAGCTTTACAACAGGCTACGTAAAAAGCACTAGGGAAGGCAGGGCAAACTAAAATTTCATACAGACAATGACTTGTTTATACTGCTCTATATACTATACACTGAAATGTAAGTACAATATTTATATTCCAATTGATTTATTTTATAATTATATGGTAAAAATCAGAAAGTCAGCTATCTGTCAGCAATAGCATGCGGTGACACCTTTGTATTTCTATGTCTGAGTTTGTAAGCAAGTAGTTTTTAAGTGAGGTGAAACTCGGGGGTGCGCCAGGCAAATTAGCCTCCTGCAAGGGGGACAGCAGTCTGGAAAGGCTCAGAGCCCTGCTCTAAAGTATTGACATGTGGAACTAAAGATAAGCTCTAGATCAGGGGTTGGCAACCTTTCAGAAGTGTTGTGCCGAGTCTTCATTTATTCACTCTAATTTAAGGTTTCACGTGCCGGTAATACATTTTAACGTTTTTAGAAGATCTCTTTCTATAAGTCTATAATATATAACTAAACTATTGTTGTATGTAAAGTAAATAAGGTTTTTAAAATGTTTAAGAAGCTTCATTTAAATTCAATTAAAATGCAGAGCCCCCTGGACGGGTGGCCAGGACCCGGGCAGTGTGAGTGCCACTGAAAATCAGCTCGCGTGCCGCCTTCGGCACCCGTGCCATAGGTTGCCTACCCCTGCGCTAGAGCCAAAGGAATGATTTTTGGGGCAGGTCTCTGGCCTGTGTGATGCAGGAGGCCAGACTATCTGATCACAATCGTCCCTGCTAGCCTTGGACTCTATGAACAACAAAATGCTGAGCCCTGCCCCAAGCAGCTCACAATCTACATACACGAGGGACAGAGACACAGTTATTAACATCTTTCTTGAGAAGTGACCACCGCAAGCCAGCCGCCCAGCCTCTCTGCAGTCAAACCCCTCCCTGCAGGGCCTGCCACTCGGGCACTCTGGGCGTGGGTGGCTGAGGGAGTCTTTGGGGCGCAGCCCAGCTGCGTCGCTGGGGAGCACACCACCGTGGGAAGCAAGTGACAGAGGAGGGTGTGCGAGTGGCCTGCCAGAGAGCGCGGGCAGCATTCCCACAAGGGCTGCTGCCTTGTTCCCTAGGTGCTGGCACAGGGGGCTGCTGCGCCGGGCCCCGGCTTGAAGTGGTTTCCATGATATCCAGGGTGGCAGTTCGGTTCAGTGGCTCTTGGCACCCCCGCTACACAGACTGTCCCAGCAGCCCTAGTCTAGTCCCAGCTCTTCCACTGTCTGGGACCCGGCCCCTCCGTGCGCCTTGGGGACGGGGC